GACCTGACATTTCTTATGCAGTTGGTGTGATGAGTCGGTACATGCAAAATCCAAAGAAGCCTCACTTGGAAGCAGTTCGACGAATACTAAGATATGTGAAGAGTACAATTGACTATGGTCTTTTGTACAAGAAAGGTGAAGACTGCAAGTTAGTTGGTTACTGTGATGCTGACTATGCGGGAGATCATGACACCAGGAGATCAACAACTGGGTATGTGTTTAAGCTTGGTTCTGGAACCATCTCTTGGTGTAGCAAGAGACAGCCGACGGTATCATTGTCAACCACTGAAGCAGAGTATAGAGCAGCAGCAATGGCAGCTCAAGAGAATGCATGGCTAGTACAGTTGATGAGTGATCTACATCAACCAGTAGATTATCCAGTACCATTGTACTGTGATAACCAATCGGCCATTCGCTTGGCGGAAAATCCAGTCTTTCATGCAAGAACTAAACATGTGGAAGTGCACTACCACTTTATCAGAGAAAAGGTTCTACAAGAAGAGATTGAGATGAGACAAGTCAAGACGAATGATCAAGTTGCGGACTTGTTCACAAAAAGTTTAAGTACAGGCAAGCTCGAAAATTTTCGCTGTCTGCTCAGCACAGTGCAAAGAATGAAGAGCTGACATTGAGGGGGAGTGTTGAAAATCAATGTCAAAGATGTTGAAAATCAATGTCAAAGTTAGGTATGGAAAATTAGGCAATGTTAGGCATGGTTGAATAAAAATAAATTAGGTGAAATTAATGTGTTTTGTGTGGTAATAAATAATCTTAGTTTATTCATTTGGTTTGCTATAAATACCCAAGTTCTCAAGCATTGTAAATCATCCAAGGAAATACAAAGCCTAGAGCTAAATAAGAAAAGCTTTGCTAACTAGTTTGTTTTGTGAGCTTTCTTTAAGAGTGTGTTCTATTTTCTTCTTCTTGGGATCATTAGAGTTATCTTGGATACTCTTCTTATTCAACAGGTTGTACCTTTTTCTTGCTCTGAAAAAACCAAATTTGCGTGATAATGTGCAGAAAATTCAGAGGGGCGTAATAGGGATGGCACTAGGGGTACACTGGTTTGTGCCTGTTTCTAACAGCACGCGCCATCAAAATGCTGCATTACGATCTTTGGATTTTATGCTTGGATGGCAACTATATTAATAATTTATATTTTAACACAACTACCTTAAGTGGCCACCAATACTTTACATGTATAATATTGACTTTACCCTTTAATTTTTCTTGTTTATATAGGTTTATAGAGCCATTGACAAGTGGTAGTTATCCACACACCATGAAAGTTCTTGTTGGAAAACGATTACCTGTATTCACGGCAGAACAATCCAAGTTAATAAAAGGGTCATATGACTTCATTGGAATAAATTACTATACTACTCATTATTCAAGCTATGCACCTCACAATAATTCTCTAAATGCAAGTTACTTGATTGATGCTCGCGTTTTTCAATCACATGAGTACAACAATAATAAAGTCTTATTTCACTAATTGAAAAACTTACTTTGATCAATTCAAGTTTCGTAGAATAATGAAATTCTAATATTCATTAATTTTGTGGCAGCATTGCATAATGGGGTCCCTATATTATTCCACCGCTACGCATCAAATTATTAGCTTATGTTATTAGTATTCGAAGGATAATTGTTTTCATGTAATTAGCTCAATTATCTTCGAATATTGAGTTGCAGGGTGCTTCAAGCTGGCTATATGTTTATCCTAAAGGACTTCAAGAACTTTTAGTTTACACAAAGAAAAATTATCAAAATTCTCTCATTTACATTACTGAGAACGGTAATTATTTTTAAACCTTGATTAATTAAATCATCAATGTTTAAGTTAAGTTCTATAAAGTGATCTAAACTTAAAGATCGTACGCGATAACAAATTATGTTTGCAGGCATTGATAAGTGGAATCATCCCACAGTTTCACTTGAGAAATCTCTCAATGACACCCATAGAATTGATTACATCTATCAGCATCTCGATTACCTTAACAGAGCAATCAAGTAAGTTTTTTTTTTAACAAGCGATATTATTTATACTAAGGGGGTGAGGGATTGGGCTAGCAATAATGTGATTCAAATTCGCATTTAATGAGAATTAAACCTAAAACCTCTTATTTACAAATGAAGAAAAATATCATTAAACCGTAGGACTAAATAACAACAAAAAAGTTCTTTTCACTAGTTATTACTAAGGTTATTTATACATATGGTCTAGCCTTGTTACATTTTGGTTATTTAATCATTAAACTAGTTATCATTGTATTTAATTTTCCTCTCTTTTGTTTGCGGGGATGGTGTCAATGTGAAAGGATACTTTTCATGGTCGTTACTAGACAATTTTAAATGGTCTGCTGGATACACAGTACGGTTTGGTTTGTTCTTTGTGGATTTCAATGACGGGCTAAAAAGGCATTCAAAACTGTCAGCATGATGGTTCAAAAATTTCTTGAAAGGGTGGAAAGAAGTCCGATTGCAATTATTGTTCGTGACATTAGACATTTAAGCACATCATTTCCCCCTTTTAATATTTGTATTCCTTCAATAATATGAATTTTATTTTTGTCTACGGACAAAAATAAATGTATGTTTTGTACCAAAAGATCAATAATAAATGTCTATTGGTGATCAAAATTTTAACTTCCTTGCAGTAAACTTATCAGTCTGTGTATAATACAAATATGAGATAATTATTTCAACCTATGACATTCAAAATCCAAAGAAAAGTAGCATGAAAGTCAGATTTAGATCATAAATAGAATAATGCTTGGATTCTTCCTTAAGGGATGCGCTCATTCACCGACTTACTTATAACGTATATATGTTTGTATGAAAAAACTCCACGTAGCATACTCACAACCCTACGTCCTAGGTGTGTACACGAAAGCTCCTATTTCTCCGAATATAGCTCACAAGGGCTCAATTTTAAGATTTGAATGTAATCCATTCACAACTTAAAGAACGTATAGCGCATTGACCGCTTCTTATTGAAATATAGGGCCAGGGAAAGCTTTCCAAGTATATCCCCTTCTTTATTGTCCAACATTTTAGGTTAATATGCATGGAAGCGTTTATAAGAATCGAATCAGATGGCATAGCTTTCAAATTAATATCACTAATTCCTCAGTCCTTTTGTTATTTCATGGTTTCTACATGATTTATATAAATGCCCGAAACAAAAATACGAACTTAACAATGGCACTCCAAGGCAATACTATCCTCTTCAGCTTGCTACTAGTTCTTGGCTGTGCAGTGACAAGTAGTAGAGCTATCAATCAAAGCCATTTTGGTACTACATGTGACACTGGTGTCCTGAAACGAAGCAGTTTTCCAGCCGGTTTCATTTTCGGGGCAGCTTCAGCGGCCTACCAGGTAGTACTTGACTTTGGCTTTTTCGCTAAGGTTATGGTCAGATGACAAGCATGGTTTTGATTTATATTTTGTGTGCGCGCACGTGTGTTGAATTTAGTATGAAGGTGCTGCAAATGAAGATGGTAGAGGACCAAGTATATGGGATGCATTCACTCACAAATATCCAGGTTTTCTTCTTTCTTCAATTATCAAAAGGATATTGAATTTCTTTTAGCGCTGTTGAAGACTTTAAATCCAAACCTTGTGATTAGGTAATTGATGGTCAATAAGCTTAATTTGGTTCTTGGTTGCTAGCTCTTAGCTCGTATTCACAACGTTCGCACGGATAAAGAAATGCGATATGCAAACAAATTAAACATTGACGTTAGACATACTAAAATAGCTTAAACAAAATTATCAGTAAATACCGTGTTAGTTGAAAAACTACAATAATATTTCAAAAGGGCAATATATTTATTGATTTATTTTTAATTCTACATTTTGACGGTCTATTTCCAATACTTATATGTTTTAATGGGAAACAAAATAGGTAGGATAGCAGATGGCAGCAATGGTGATGTGGCTACTGATCAATATCATCGTTACAAGGTACAATTAATTAAGCCCACACCATATATATATATATATGAAATCATGTACAAAGAACAAGAAGGTTTCTTTTTTATATGCCTATACTTTCTTATTTTTTTTATTGGATTCTCTAACTTCCTTGTTGTTATAGGAAGATGTTCAGATTATGAAGGAAATGGGATTTGATGCTTACAGATTCTCAATCTCATGGACTAGGTTGTTACCAAGTAAGACGATTCATAAAACTATGTGTGAGATAAATATATATATTTTTTTAATTTTGATTAGTTCTTTGTAATTCCTACATTGCCTTGAATTTTCAATACCTGAAAAATTATAAATGAAATTGATTATGAGAGAGGGGATCGTTGATCCCATACATAATATAGATAGGTTATTAATATTTTTCCTTATTTTTCATTGATGTGTATTATAGTAGATTTTTTCAATGTGCCGAGAACATGACTGATACACCAAGGGTTATAACATAAATGGTTGAATACTTAAAAAGAGTTCAATCACTTATATTATGGCACTTGCTATATGAACCGTGTTGCTGGACATGAATTTTTTTTTCTCCTATCAGAGGTGGGAGAATTAACGCTTCTCGCCAACTACAATCCCTTGCTTAATGATTTTTCATATCATACATGTTGAATGATTTTTTTATGCCATGTGTTTAATTGATGCTTTAACATGTTTGTCCATACTTTAACTTGGATCACATTGATCAGATGGAAAGTTAAGTGGCGGTGTGAACAAAGAAGGAATCAGATATTACAACAACCTTATCAAAGAGCTTCAAGCCAATGGTTATGCACCCGACTCCTATGACTAATAGATAGGATAATGTTAGGGAGATTAATTTTTTAAACTAAATTTTGTAAATCGTATGATGTGTATTGATGATTGAATTATTACTTAAGCGTCGATTAACGTGCTTATTTTCTATTGATGACACATTATATGATTTGCAAATTTGATTTACCTAACATTACTCTACTATTATGCGTCCTTAATGAAAAAATTAATAAAGAAATCAGCTATTGATGTTCATTTTCTTTTTTCAATATATTAATTGGTGAATGCAGGTCTAAAGCCCTTTGTCACAATTTTTCACTGGGATGCTCCCCAAGCACTGCAGGATGAATATGGTGGTTTTGTAAGCCCTCGAATTGTGTAAGTGAAAGTTAGTCTATTCCCGTTGCATATCGAACCAAAACATTATCACTTTTTGGTAAGACTTGCAAATATACGCTCGACAATAAAGCCTTGCTATAATACATCTTAGAGATTCACAAGTTGTGCTGTGTGTGGATCGTGTTGTTAAGAATACGAATAATATATCCCTAGAAAATATTTGTATAAGAATGTAACAAAAAGCTTGCTCCAAATTTTATGTTTTTCTTTTTGTTTTCATTCTCCTCCTAATATACAATATACAGGGAACATTTTCGGGACTTTGCAGACTTATGCTTTAGGGAATTTGGTGACAAAGTTAAGCATTGGATCACGCTAAACGAGCCGTGGAGCTATACTACTCATGGTTATGTGGAAGGAAAGTTTCCACCAAGTAGAAAATCAGGGACTGAGCCATATTTGGTGGCACACAACCTACTTCTATCTCATGCAGCTGCTGTAAAGTTGTATAGAGAAAAGTATCAGGTCATTCATAGAAATCTCTAATGCATTACTATAATCTAATTATATATATAGATGTTTATGTCAAAAATATATTTATTATTTGCAAATGCTCAAATAATAATTTGTAACGTGTACAGGCATCACAGAAGGGCATAATAGGAATAACGTTAATATCACATTGGTTTGTGCCATTTTCTAACTCAAAGCAGGACAAAGATGCCGCACAAAGAGCATTGGAGTTTATGTTTGGATGGTATAATTATGTACATTTAAAGGATAAATATATATTTTTAAATATAACAATAAATTATACTGAAGTGGGGAATAAATTGGTTTGAACTCATCGTCAATGAGATTCAAATTTAAGATCTTTCGTTTATATAATTAATGTAGGTTACAAATTTCCTTTTAAAATAGAGAACTTTAACAAAAAACTTTAGATACTGTTCACTTTAACGAAAAACCACATTTTTACACTAAAAAGTCAATTCTAGTACTATTCACTTTGCTCTTTATTTTGTTCTTATTGTTAAAACTTAAAATTTTCAAACTCTTTTCATTAGCTTTCCTTTTAAAATATAGGTTTATGGATCCCGTGATGCATGGTCACTATCCGCATAGTATGCGATCTCTCGTCCAAAATCGATTACCCAAGTTCACCAAAGAACAATCCAAGATGCTAAAAGGTTCATTTGATTTTCTTGGAGTAAATTACTACACAGCATATTATGCAGCCAATGCACCTCCTCCTAATGCCAGAAACCCAAACTACACGACGGACTATCGTGCCAATCTCTTAAGTAAGTAGAAAACTAACAACTTTGGCTGACGATGTTGCCTTTCTTTCTTTATTATATATACACTCACAAGGCTTTGAACTTGTATATTGCTGCAGCTAAGCGTAATGGGGTTCCAATTGGTCCAGAGGTATGTACTGTGTGAGCCTTGAGTGTGTATATATACCTTAAACTAGTATAGTAGTATACATAGTTTCCGCAATTATGTTGATCAAGTTTCACTAAGTTTCACCCCTTGATATTTATTTATAGTGAAATTGCTGAAGTTTCACCCTCCTGATATTGCAGACTCCTTCAGATTGGCTTCATGTTTATCCAAGAGGAATTCGAGAGCTATTGCTTTACATCAAGAGAACGTATAAGGATCCACTAATTTACATCACTGAAAATGGTAATTTGTGGCTTTTAATTGAGTCACTTTGTGTTATCAGATGTTGTCCAATATGTACTAGACTTACTAGATATTAGAAATTACGTAACAATACCACCTATCATTGTAGGAATTGATGAGTCGAACGATCCCAAATTACCACTTAAGGATGCTCTAGTTGATAATCAAAGAATTGACTATTATGATCGTCATTTTGATTATCTTCATACTGCGATATTCAAGTAAGCTTATAACAAAAACAAGATTTCATTCTATTACTTGATGACTAAATAATTTCGCTGATATATATGGTTGTATCTGATTCATATTCATATTTTCGAGCAGGGATGGCGTTAATGTGAAGGGATTTTTTGCATGGTCATTGTTTGACAACTTTGAGTGGGAGTTGGGTTATACTGTAAGGTTTGGCATCAACTATGTGGATTTCAAAGATGGGATGAAAAGATATTCCAAACTCTCAGCTTGCTGGTTCAAGAATTTTCTTAAAAAATAAAGTCATTTGAAGTGGATGAATTGCATTTTTTTTCCTTCCTAGCACGTCATAAGTCAAAAGGAAATGCACATGGTGAAAATGTGAATTTCTAGGGGATTATATCCATCATGTGTTGGGTAATAATCAACAATCAATGACAAATGTATATATATAACAAATGTATATATAGAAATAAATAAAAGATGTACCTGTGCTTTGCTGCGAAGTTTGAAACATTGTCGAAGGTGTAGAAAGGCTTGAAAATATATGTGCCAAAGAGTAGTGTGTATATACATATATTCAATAAAATTTCCATCTACATCAAAATAACCTTCTTCCCTCTCCTTGTTCAAGTTGAAAGTTTCTGTTCGAATCCCATCCTCGACAAAGTCCTCGTAATTCTGCCAAAAGATACCCCCAATCATTGGCTATCGTTTCCATTGATCCAAGTAGCAGAAGCATCCGGCAATCTTCTCGTCTGAAAAAATTCCTGCCAATTTAGAAAAGAACCATTCCAAATTACAGATGTACTCTATTAATTTAACCAAGAGCATGCATGGCACCGCTACTATTAAAAGAGCAACTTATAAAGACAAGTTTCTACATTCCGTTGTTAAATTGCTACCAAGAACATGTATGGAAATTTTAAAATGACCAGAAAGATGATGTTTATATGCGCACTGAGAGGAAAAATCTTCTACAAGTGAAAAAAAAACGTATTTATATCAAACAGACCTATCGCTTCAAGCTTGAGCTCGCGCATCATCTGAAAAAGCCTCTTGTATCCATTCCAATTACTCTTCTATGGAGCATGTCCCTCTACTATTCTCCTCCAGAATCAACCATAATTGCCATCTACATTAACTGATTCAATACCCTTAGCTGCTTTTGTAGAATTTAATTAATTTCATGAGAGAACTATATATGAAAGAATTATATATTCTGTAAAGAATGCAACATATATGGAACATATAAAGCAAATGAGGAATCTGTATATGAAGTGTAATTGAGAGTTACAGTATATAAATGAGTAACATATACAGTGTTGTACTGGATAAGGGTGTATAAATATATGGAATATATAAGGTAAGCTGGAAATGGAATTTGTTATTCTAGAATCAATGGTATCTGCAATTTTAGAATCATTGTTAATTTGTGGATTTATTCATGCAGGGTGTTTCCGTTTTTAGAAAGTATCCGTAGATGTTTTTCTATTTGTTTAGTTTATGAATCAGAATGTGAGAATTGATCGGTTCATTTTGTGTAAGACTACAGCTGCAAGATTGGTAATTTTTTTTTTTTTTTTTGTACAAATGAATATAGTATAATACTTTAAATGCACGAATTATCAAGTCATTTTATGTATGACTGACAATATGAACAATATGAAAATGGAAGAATGCTTACTCCCTTTCGGGGAACGATGTAACGCATGTGGTTGCACGTCTAATTCTGTAATCCAAATGTGCAATCTTGAAGCAGCAAGAGTATCAATAAAAGATCTTATGTAAGGAAGGTTAGAAGCCATACTGAAATGGGGCTCAAGCCGAATCCCTAACCGTGTATTTCTGTTACCCGGAAAATTGTATCTCCCTCACCTTCTGAAGTTACTTAGCTGGTGCACATAAACCATCTCTTCTGTCCTCAATAGTATTAAATTCATTAATGAAAGTGGTGGTTAATCCATCAGCTCTAATGGCCATATTATATATAAAAAAAAAGGGCAGAAGCTTTTGAGCCCAAGTACGTTCAAAGAAATTAAGAAGTAAATTTTCATTCACAGCATCCCATACTATAACTTGCTCCTTGAATCTATTGATAACAGAGTGAAGCCTTGAGTTTGTAGTAGCACAAGATTTTTCGTTTTGTATTGATCTCCTTGTTTATCTTCCTTCGAGTTATTCTATCAATGCCCTTTGTTATACCTCAACTTTAGTGTTTTGATATATTTCCATCATATTTCGTTTCTTGTAGGCTGCCCGGCATGCTTGAGGAACTTCCTAAATCAAAAGAGCCAGTGAATTCGCCTTCGCAGCTAATTTGCCCCTATCCATAGGCAAGAGCATTGATCCCAACACAAAAGCAAAGACTTGTAATCATACCAAAAATATGCGCGTACCTTTCTGCATAGCGAGGAAGATAGTGATAGTGATGAAGCACTCTGATTCTGCTATTTAGCATCTTGTTGGCACTGTGAATTCCTGTAAGATGAGCAGCCACTGCACACAACCCTGGTTGATAATCGACTGCAACTACGTGATAACGATGGTCGTGACTTGTGAATACTTGATTTCAACCGTGTTATTTCCTCAAGACTTTGTCTGCTTATCTTGAGGATCAAGTTTATTTTTATTTTTCTCGTAGTATTCTATCTTTTTTCCTATAGTTGTTTTGTTGAGAATGAGTGCCACAATGATGGGAGGAGGGACCTTGCATGGCTTATAAGAGGTTGGGCTACTCCTCAGATTGTCAATTGGTTTTATAGTGGAACCTCAACTTTCTTCATGGTATCAGAGCAGGTTATCCCACGTGTGAAGTCGAACAGCCACACGCATCGAGTGATGTAGAGCACATGTGGCCATTGAACTTTCCACATGGAACAATTGCTACAAAGAAAGTGAAAGTTCCACTAAAAAATCAATTAGCTATATGGAAAGTAGTCATATTAATCAAAAAAACCATGAAAGAACCCTACCTTCATCCATGTAATCTCAAAAAAGTTAATTGATATTAACCTCCACATCACGAAAGAAGTTATTGGCATTTGGAATCTTGGATTTTGGCCTAGGTTTTACGGACACCTTGACAAATGCTGTCTGTCTACTTTCTAGTTAGAAATCGATTTAGAGCAAGAGATGCTTTAAGGTTAATTTGATTCTGTCGGACTAGAATACCATACGCAATATTCATTTGCACCCATCTTAATGCTACAAACACAAGCTACCTGACATACACGTACGTACACATCAACTAACTTTCGAATTCCCTCCCATTACTTGAAAAAAAAAAAGTTGTGTGACGATTACAACTATAGTTATATACAAATAAACTTTCGATCAACTTTTTAAATGACACCTGATAGGATTTTTACCACCTACAAAAATAGAGATAAAAACACATGAAATACTTGCAAGAATATAAGGATGTTATAGCATAGATGCTTATGTAAGGTCGTTCTCTTCAAAGACTATTTGGATAATTTATGTAGAAATAATTCCTAATTAAATACTTAGAGTTAAAAATTGAGAAAATAGATTCTGAAATTAGGTAATATTAAAAACGAATTTTAATTAAAAACTAATATGACAAAAGAAAAGAGTTTTAAATACCAATTTATGAAAGCACTAGGATTCCACCATCACCTAGCAATCCTATGTACTTTTACCAATTACCTATAATCTACACATGCCACTTTGAAGGTTAGATTTTCCTAATTTATATTCTACTTGGAACCTCCAACATAGAACGTATATCTAACATACAACTCGTCCGGACGTTCAAATCAAATCTGACCATGAAATACTCATTATGCTTTATGAAAACCCCAACACTTAAGACGCAGTGTTCATCTTAAGTGAAATTATAATTATTAATCATAATAAGCCAACGTCAATTTCAGGAAACCTTTCGACCAAAACTGCTTCAAATTACTTTTCTAAATATCCTAATGGTGATAAGACATTAAGACAATTATAACTGTTTATTCATTTAGCACAATAGAAGTAATTTTTATTTTTCTAATACAGTAATACCAAACTAGTTTTAAATTTTCCATGAATAAGCATATGATAAAAATATTTTTTCAAAAAACGCTTATAAGTGGCTGGCATTAATATTTAAAAAGAGATAAAGAAGAAGCTGTATTCGATCAAACGATATGAAAAAAATGGCTACAGAAAGGAGAGGAGAGATGTGCTTTATACAAAATATAAAGCTGTGTCATCATCCTAGGATTGTGACACCTGTCATCATCTAGAGCATTAAACCTATGCGCATGGTACTGCTAACAGCCAGACCGTTGTTGCCGGCGACCGGCACACTTGGTCATAACTCGCCGTCCGCGATTCCCCACTCAATTAATAAATTTGTTTGAAAGTTGAAAACCACATGCCGTTGTTATGGAATCACAACGTTTCGGCCGGTGACTCGGTCGCTCGCCATAGAACACAAGGAGAATATCACAAGCAACCCAAAAATGTTAACCACAAACCTCAAAGTATCAACCAGATATCTTCTTGTTTTGATCAACGATTCTGTAATTAGCCATCATTTTTTAATCTTTAATTTAGTCCCTAAGTTTAAGGACCATACCATAGGAATCTCAATTGGAACCAATATTCCTTTACCCAAATATTTTCTTTGAGACCCTATAGAGGTTATCAAAAGTGGTGGTGTAGGCCTTATTTTAAGGTCTTTCATTGGAAATGTTCTTCCATATATGTTGCAGTTAAATGTACCTGCGGACAAAATATTAACAACACATCAACAACCATATCATTCAAATGTTAACAATTGTAAATTCACATAATCAACGATGTCAATAATATCTTACAGCATATAGCCCGATATCAACAATATATATGTGTGTGTGTGTGTGTGTGTGTAATGGAAGAGACCGCTAGTAGAAACAAGCTATTGCTGTGGTGATTAGGTGGATAAATTTTTCATTATGACAAAAACATAGGTGGTACATCACGTGTTTTTATGTAAGTGGTGGAAAATTTTATTTTTTAAGTTAATAACTTTTTAACACACAAATCCTCATATTTGTATAGTAATACGTGATGTACCATCCATGTACTGATCACACTGAAAAATCTCTCGATCAGGTGACACCGAAAATGTGAGTTGTGAAAAAGTTATTCCTAGTCACGTTTTTGTATCAGTATACCAACTGCCACTCTAAGAATATTCTCGTCACTAGTTGCTCACTGTTGCTCTCTTTTCTACTGATATATTAGCCTGCAGTCTTTTTCTATGTCTTTGTTTCGTTGTATTCTTGTCAATATATATTTGCTTGAGCTGTCTATAAATGCCTCCTGGTAGCTGAAGGTGCATAGCTTATTGTTAACCAAAATCAATCATGGCATCCAGATCTAGAGGCTCTATTCTTATACAGCTTATAGGTTTACTGGTAATTGTCCTTGCCTCAATGGTGAAGAGTAGTAGAGTTACAATACCTAGAGTAAGTACAGATCTGTACGACACTACTTCCCTCAACCGGAGCAGTTTTCCTATAGGTTTC